TGCTGGATCATAAGGTATTTCTATTTTCAACTTTCTGAGGAAACGCCATATTGCTTTCCAGAGAGGTTGGACCATTTTCAAGCAATCAATTTTTCACACAACTCTGCCCTTAATATTAGAAGTTGCAGTGACCCACAATGCTCACTCTTTACATAGAGGTTGGTATTCCTGCTTTTCTACATAGAAATGAAGACCACTTAGTTGATAACTATTGCCTGCAAAAACTTAGAATGCCTCCTTATTCTGTTTCATACAATTTGCCTAATTATTTTTAACCTCAAAATAGCACTATTCCTTTCATCTTTAAAATGAATGAGTAACACATGAATATATACATATAGGTCAAAAAAGAAAGAAAAGTAACTAACACCAAAATATGTAGAGTAAAAACTATAGTTCCTTTTTATACTATGAAATCCTTCTTTTTCTTTTTTTCTTAAAAGTAAATACTACTAGTTTGGTATATATACTTTCAAACCTTTTATTCTTTTAATGCATATACATTCATTTTTGTATAATGCATATTTTTCTGACTTGCTGTTTTAACTTAATAATATCTTTTAATAGTTTCAAAATCTTTCTATGTTATATGTCTAAATCTGTCCCACTCTTTTCTTCTTCACGGTGGTGTTGAGTCAGTTCCGACTCATAGCAACCCTGTATAGGATTTCCAAGGAGCAAGCGCTGGGTATGAACCACTGCTTTTGTGGTTAGCAGTCCAATGCTTATCCTACAGTGCCACACCAGGACTCCTTTTCTTAACCAATTATTAATGTTGGACTCTACTTACTACATCTCTCCTTCAGTATCAGATGGAGCAATCCCCTAAATAACTTAGAATACAATTTCAACAACCTGCACTCTCTGACATCATAGAGAAGTACTTATGATAAATAGCCATATTGTCACAACAACATATATTCTATAGGCAACTTGAAGAACATTGTAGTCCGAATTTAAGAATCATGATAAAATGGAGTAGAAAGATGACCCTGGAAGCTCTCTCTGATGGAGATGTTTTGGTGAAGGAGATCAAGGCAATGATAAGTTAAGTGGCAAACCTAAACATGCAGTATTAATGGCTAGGGTAACGATAATACTAAAGTGAATGGAAAGGAAAGGATATACAAGAGCTTGCATAAAAAATTCTATACATCTTGGTGACTAACAGACGGGATGAAAAGAAATGCAGAATCACAGAGGAAGCTTGTTGTCGTTAAGTATCGTCCAGTTGATTCCGAATAATAGTGACCCTGTATAGAGTTTCCGAGAAGCGGATGGTGGGTTTGAACTGCCAACTTTAGGTTAGCAGTCCAGTGCCAATCCTATAGTGCCACACAGAAGAAGCTTGTTGTTGTTGAGTGCTGTCGAGTTGGTTGCAACTCATAGTGACCCTGTATACGGTTTCTGAGGAGCAGCTGGTGAATTTGAACTGCCGACCTTGCAGTCCAGTGATTATCCTACAGCGTCATATCAGGACGCCTTAGAAAACCTGTCTAGACTACAGAGAATGGTTTTAGAAGAAAGAGGACATTGTTTTTAAACACACTAACTTCAAGGTGATGGAGCAGTGTCCAGGTAGAGAAGTTCACCTGGTAGGTAGCTTAGAGGTACAAAGCTAAAACACTGAAATGAGGTATAGATCAGGGAGTCATAAGACATGTGAATTTCAGAATACAGAAAAAGAAAAGCAGAGATATATTTTGCAGTGCCTCCTCACTCACAACCTCCTCTAAAGGGGCTGACCTGCTCATAGTTACTGCCAAAGGACAAAGACTCAATCCAACAATCAATCCATAGGGTAGCTAGTCAGTACCCTCCAATGGCTACCTACGAGCACACATAAAACAGTTAAATTAACTCCACAAACTACAATAAAAAAACAATGCTCATTATTCATTATATACTCAGTAGTCAGCAAAAGAATTCTGATTCTGTTTCATGGGCATGTTGGCTCCTAACCACATCAGAATTTTCTCAACAGCAAACAAAACAGCTTCTTTTTTTATACTTCACACTGCTATGGGCACCTGGTGTGGCGCTGTGGGTTAAAGTGCTTATCTGAAAAGTTGGTTGAACTGCAAGGTCAGCAGTTCAACCTCACCAGCTGCTCCTTGGAAACCCTATGCAGGGTTGCTATAGGTCGGAACTGACTCGACAGCACTTAACAAAAACAACAATGGGCATACAGTAGCAAAGTAGTATAAGAATCTGAATTGCGGCTAAAATATCTAGATTTTAGTTCCGGCTTTCTCAAAGCTTTTTCTTTGCAAATATGGATGCTGGATTAAATAACCTCAATGGCTCTAAAAGTTAGGATTTAATAACCTCCAAAGTCTAAAACCTAGGCTTCTATGGCTAACTAAGGAGCTCTGGTAGCGTAGTAGTACGAATTGGGCTGCTAACCTCAGGGTCAGCAGTTTGAAATTACCAGCTGTTCCACAGGAGAAAGATGAGGTTTTCTGCTCCCATAGAGATTTACAGCCTCTATGAGTTGGAACCGAATCCACGGCACATAACAACAACAATATACAGTCCACATTCTATACATGCACTCAAAATCAAAGCAGAGAAAATAAATGCTGTGGCATGTACATAACACAACTAATATGTACATGTGTATATTTAACCATCTAATCCATTGAAATTTCCAACGGACATTGACATTTCCAGTACATCTGATGACTGTAAACATCAATAAATCTGTTACCTTTCTATTCCAATTCTTCATCCTAACAGCTCTGACAAATAGGGTTGTTGTGTGAACTTTAAGAGGAAGGAGTTATAAAATTACAGCAACCTAAAACCTGCTTAGTATAAGCACACATGTCTGCTTCCTCCCCTCAAATCAGTTAGTTGATCATACTCTTTGTCTTATGTGCTTTCTCACACCTAGCAGCATCAGTGTTAAAATAAATTATGGGTAGGACACACTGTGTTAGACACTGGGAATACAAAAAGGCCTAAATACCTCAGGAGCTGATAATACAGTTGGTGAGACAGAAATATACCAAAAAAGTTAAAGAACAGTATACAGAAGGACATCCTAAATGCCTGATAAATGCTTTACTTCCACTGGTATTCAGTGTAACCTTCTCCCAATTGGCAAGGATCAATCAGGTCTATTTGTGTAACTTTGCAAAGCAAAGGTCTGGGTGAGCATTAGAATTAGGGGAAAGGTGACATGAAGACAGAAAGGAATTATTCTTTGTAAAGCAAACAGAAGTCTAAATTCTGGTTAGAATTTAAAGGCCACAGGAAATATATTTGTGCTATGGCACCATGAAACTTCTCAAGTTAGGCTCAGGCAACAGGTTTCTGATAATACACAGTGAAACCTGTGAGAGCAGGAACTCAACAGGACTGTCTTGCTTTTCCAGGTTTCACAAGGTTCAGTTACCACTTTTTCACCACTTTCAATTTAGTGGAAAATATTTTCCGTCTCTGACAAGTTTCCACTTTACATAGGTTCTGGCTTTTGCAGGTTTTACTGTTCTGGTGTGGTACTGTGGGTTAATACTCTATACTGCAAGGTCAGTTTAACCTCAAGGTCAATAGTTCAAGCTCACCAGCCGCTCCTTGGAACCTCTATACAGGGTCACTGTGGGTCAGAACTGACATGATGGCACTTAATAACAACGTATCAAAAAATAGAAAAGTATCATTTTGCATTTATATCATGTTTGCAGTTTTCAAAGTGCTTCTAGATATCTGCACAACTACATGAAGTTAATAAAGACCATAATTAGTATATTTCGTTCTTAAAACTAAAGCACAAATAAGTAAATGACCGATTGAAGGTCAAATTATCCAGGAAGAGGTACAGCTGGAACAGAATCCAGGTCTTCTGAATTCAGGTTAAAGTGCCTTTTTCATTAAGTTATTATACAAGGAGAAATACCAGAGCAAAACAGAAATCACCCAACTGGAGAGCTCCCCATGGGGATCAGCTGTGACTGTTCAACAGCCCAGCTTCTCCTGCCCAATACTGCTGCCATTCTTTCCCTCCCAGACGTGCGTAACCCAAGACCACTCGCCAGTAAATTAACTTTCAGCACACAAAAAAGCAGAAACAGAAATCAGAAGTTATAAATCGTGGTGTGGCACTGTAGGATAAGCACTGGACCACAAGATTCTGCAAAAGTATGTAGTCAACAAAGAAAACAAATCATTAGGTTCTACTGAGGATGTAAATGATCCTTTAAAACACACTAATTGCCTTTTCCATTTCATATTGACTAAAGAACCTTTTATTAACAAAGTCTCAGTCACCTGTATTTCAGGAATGGACCCTCTTGTACATGGGACAAGAAGATATTCTCAACAGAGAAATCAATCACTAACAGCAAATTATAAAAGTTAATTCTCTCTCAAGAGAATTTATAAGCTAAGAATCTCCAGGACTCACAGCCAGGAGGTGAGTCTTATGACCAGCAAGGTGGATGGAGCCTCCATCAGGCTCCAAATCCTAGAGGGCAGCCTCCTGTCAATATCCTCACGGCTGATCAAATGATACTATTACTGACTGGCCCGATGTAGTTCTTGTTTCAATGTGAAGGCAATAATGATGTTCATGCTGCTCACAAAAACGGGGAGACGAGTAAATTTGTTTTTATTTATAAGGCATGACTACATAATCTGGAATCTGGCATTTTAATCAGTTTACAATATACTGTACCTTGAGCAGTTTGTAGCTGGGCAGAACAGCTCAAAGATCTTACAGCTGGGAAAAAACAAAAACAAAACTGTTTTACAAAAGAGTAATACAATGCTTATATAAGATGCTTGTAAATCCAAATTTAATCTTTTAGACAAGGAACATTCAAACTTACAAAATCTGAGGGCCCATTTTGATGTACTGGGAAGATTTTTAAAAGTGCAAGTCAAAATGGAAGTCATTCTGAAATCTAAAAAGAGAACAGAAAGAAATATTCTGGATTACATGAACATTTTACAGCTTATATTATAGTCTAAAAGTCCTTGGGTGGCACAAGCAGTGATGTCTCAGTTAGTAACCTGGTTAGTACCAACTGGGCTGGTGGTTTGAACCAACCCAGTGATACCATGGAAAGTCTAGTGATCTAATTAATCTGTGAAGATTAAAGCCAAGACAACTGTTCTACTCTGGAACACACAGTCACCATGAGTCCAAATCCCCTTGATGGCAATGGGCTTTGTTTTTTGTTATTGTAGTTTCTGATCTCCAACAACCTCATCTATACCTAGTACAACAACAATAACAAATTACCAAGTATAATTTCTCTAATTATTAATAACATAATAGTTCAATGACATAACTTTTACATTGTGACAGCCACTATTTTAAAGCAATAACTCATCTAAACCTCACACCAACCTCTGAAGTATGCATTATTATTGTACCCTTTGTAAGACATAAAGAAACAAGCACAGAGAATTGAGTGATTTGCCCAAAGACCCACAGCTGGCAGGGCCGGAATTTGAACCCAAGCAGTCTAGCTTCAGATTCTGTGCCCTTCTCCTCTAGGGCCAAAGGAGTGGAGAGCCTGCTGGGCATAAATCGTGAAACTATCCATGTTAATCTCCTGATTTAGAAGGCTGTGTGGTGAGTCCTGGTATGCGGCTGTAGGATAAGCCCTGGACTGTTAACTGCAAGGTTGTTGTTTGGAAGCCACCAGTCACTACTTGGCAATCCTATACAGGACTGCTATGAGTCCGAATTGAGCCGACAGCAATTAACAGCATGATTATGGAGAGCCCTGATGGCAAAGTGGTTAAACATGTGGGACTGCTAACCAAAAAGTCAGCAGCTGGAATCCACCAACCACTCTACAGGTGAAAGATATATAGATTCTGCTTCCTTAATATTAAACCAAACTAAACCTGTAGCTGTTGAGTCAATTTCAACTCATAGAGAACCTATAGGGGTGAATAGAAGTGCCCTGTAGGGGTTCCAACACCATACATAATCTTTACAGAAGCAGATTGCCACATCTTTTTCTGGCAAAGCAGCTAGTGGGTTCAAACCACCAATCTTTTGGTTAACAGTCAAGTGTTTTAACCCCTACATTACTAGGACTTCTCTCCTCAAAGACTATTGTTATTGTTAAATGTCATTGAGTAGGTTCTGACTCATAGTGACCACTATAGGATTCCCAAGGAGTAACTGGTGAGTTTGAACTGCCAAGTTTGCAGTTCAAGCTGGGATTTCAGTCCTGCGTTTATACACAGTGCCAGACACCTCAGGAATCAGTTCTACTCTAATCTATAGGATCACTATGTGTCAGAATCAGCTCAGCAGTAACAAGTTTGACTTAGGTGCTTTATTGTGATTATGCTACCACTTGTTTGTAAGTTTGGTTTTTTGTGGTGGCTTGCATGTTGCTGTGATGCTGGAAGCTATGCCACCAGTATTTCAAATATCGGCAAGGTCATCCATGATGGATAGGTTTCAGGGGAGATAAGGAGAAAGGTCTGACAAGCTACTTTCAAAAATCAGCTAATGAGAACCTTCTGTATCACAGCAGAATCTTGTCCAATACAGCGCTGAAAGAGGAGTCTCCTACTACACAACAGCCACAACAAGAGACTCAAATACACTAAGAATTAGGAACATGGCACAGGGCCTGGGGACATTTCATTGTCATGAGTTGGAGTTGACTTGACAGCAACGAACAACATTGTAATTATAAAGACTGGATTGTGGAATGTTTGTATTTGAGGGAAACACATGCTAAAGTATTCAGGGATGGTAATACATTATGTCAGCAACTTACTTTCAATTGCTACGGGGGAAAAAAGCTCTTTGTGGTGCATTTACAACTGTTTTATAAACTTAACATTGCTTCAAAATAATTTTTAGAACCAACATACAAAAACCAATATATATTTTTAAAAGTATTTAAAATATAAAACCACTCTCCTTAAAAAAATAAAAATAAAGGAGATAAATGAACAAAGGAGTATGAATAGTCACAGAACCGGAAATACAAAGGACTTGAACAAACATGAGGTACGACCTATATCAGCATTGTAAAAATAGCAAAGAAAAGATTAGAGCAATCATCCACCAGAGAACTGATTAAGTAAATAATGCTCCAAACACCCAATGAAATAAAAGATCAAGGAATGATGATGTACCAACATTAAGCCATATTTAATACATTTAAGTGAAGAAAGCAAGATGAAAATAGTGTATGTCATCATTTGCATTAAAAAATAGTATGTACATTTCCTTGTAAGTTTATAAAATATGGTGCCATGCTGTATAAATATTAAAGGTAAAAAGTTGGCTAGAAGTGAACAGAGTAACTCGGCAAAAGAGGTTGTGTAAGGCAAGAAGTGACTGGCTTACAAGCTTTCAAGAGGGAACCTAGATCCAGAGGGCCTGGAGGAAGCTAGAATCTCCAGCGTGCAGTATCAGTCTGACTAGCCGGGGCTGATGCAATGAAATGCAGACGGGTCTCTTGTGATACAATAGTGAATAATTGTTATCAGGACTGATTGTAAGGGTTGGAAATGTAAAGGTAGACGTTTTATAGCAAGGAGGGGAGTGATTAACTTTTCAGTCTAGGAGCGGAGGTCCCTAGGACCATCAAGGGAGAAGAGCAGAGAGCGGGACCCTACCCAGAGAAGCAGCAATGCCTGAAATGGAGCCAGAGATGATGACGTGGAGCAATGGAGCAGTTGGAGACTTTAGATCCAGAGAAGGAGAGCGACTGTGTGCTGAAGACCTGGGGGGCACAGGGGAAGGATTGCATGGAGGGTATTGTAACCATGGCAATGAGACGATATACGATAGAATGAATGTAAAACCAATGTTCTCCCATGTAAACTATCACATAAGTCACAATAAAACATTAAAAAAAAAAAAAAAAGAGATTGTGTATGTTTTATAACATTTAAAATTTTGAACATGGTTCAAAATAAAAAAGAAAAGAATTTGTGAGGTTTGCCTACAAATGCTAAGGTAGCTAGTCTCCAGAATTGTTCCCAATAAACTTCACCTCTTGGTACTGACACTGTGTAGTCTCCTTGCACACTGTACATAAATTGGTCTGTGAACCAAAAGAATTGATCAGGAGTTATGATGTGTGATGTGTCACTTAAGATCAAAATGGATGTCAAAAGAGACTTTGAATGGCAGATGGGAGAACATTTAGGCAGGTTTGCATGGGTTAAGTGGGACAGAGGTAAATAGTGAGGTATGCTCAACCTTGGAACAACAGGGCTCTGGGATACGGGGATTGAGGCATGGTTTCAATGGGTAAAAGAGGGGAAATAAAGTCAAGATGCTTGACTGTTTTATGAATCTTGGTTTCCCTAGCCTACTATTTAAAATGGAGTCCTGGTGTGGTGTTGTGGGTTAATGCGCCAGACTGCAAAGCCGACTGAACTGTAAGGTTGGCGGTTCAAGCTCACCAGTCACTCCTCAGAAACCCTCTATAGGATCGCTATGGGTCAGAACCGACTCGATGGCACTTAACAACAACTACTTAAAATAACACGAGGGGGAGAGAAAGGAATAGCCAGAAACATCACTATAGAAAGCTTATAAGTCCGTCTTCAGTCTATAACTGATTAGAATACTTAAAATGGGGCTAGACTTGTCCAGTTTAAGAGGCTTCCTGCAGAGCCTTTGCATTGCATAAGACCTTAGGTGGAATCCTGATCCCCATCTAGAATCTTCTGAGGTGGGAATTTTCTACTTGAAAAGACAAGCAGACCAGCCTGGAACAGTTAGATGAACAGAAGATACTTCTCGAAAGAAAGACCAGCTGGAAAAAAAAAAAAAACAATAATGGCAGTCTCTGTTTGACTACTATAAGAACAAGCAAGTTGTTTGTGGGGGTAGGTTGGGGGTGTGGAGCCATCAAGGCAAGCAATCAAGTCCCTTCAGGGCAAATCCCCTTCCAAGACTGAAACTCAAAGGTAATAAATGAACAAGCATGTAATCTTGTTGGTGACCATGTAGTCTACTGATAAGGGGAAGTGTGGGAAAAACAGCAATGAAACTGTGGGTTAAGTTCAACCACGTTCAATAGACTCCTGTCAACCTGGATGGAGACCTGGTTGGCCAGCAGTATAGCGAGACCTGGGGACTCCTGAGCCCATGGGCAGGGACATGGCCACAGAGAACTAGAGCAGAAAGGGAAGCGTCTAGCTGATATGAAGTGAGGGGAGATGCACAAGAACACCCATACTTGCAGTCAGTACCCATTCGACCTAACTTCAATGGCTGGATGATCAGAATTTGACTAGAAGAAGAAAGAAGAGAAAACAAAAGTGTAACCCACTACAATTTAATGAACTTGACCTATACTTATGGATGTAGTAGCTTAAAAGTGTGAACGAATCTTTACAGCAAGGATCATTCCCACCCCCTCTATTACACAGGGTTGACAGGAATGGGCAATTTAGACAATGGCTACCCAAAATGGGGGTGAGGGGCCTACAAAGACAAGAAGTGACTGGCTTACAAGTTTTCAAGAGGGAGCTTAGTTTCAGAGGGTGTGGGCGAAGGTAGAGTCAAAAAAAAAAAAAAAAAAAAGAGAGACTTTGAAACTTACTTTCCAATGTAGAGATGGTCTAGCAAATGGAAGAAATGAGGAGGTAAAAAAGCTGAATAGAAAAATGTAAAAGGCAGCTCAAAAAGATAAAATCAAATATTGTAACAAAACACACAAAGACCTGGAGTTAGAAAACCAAAAGGGAAGAACACATTCAGCATTTCTCAAGCTGAGGGAACTGAAGAAAAAAATTCAAGCTTCGACTAACAATATTGAAGGATTTTATGGGCAAAATAAGCTCTGGTAGCATAGTGGTTATGAATTGGGCTGCTAATCTCACAGTCAGCAGTTAGAAATTACCAGATGTTCCACAGGAGAAAGATGACACTTTCTGCTCCCATAAAGATTTACAGCATTGGAAACCCTGTACAGGGTCGCTATGAGTTGAAACCGACTCTACCACACGTAACTAACTTTAAAGAAGCTGTGGTAGCGTAGTGGTTATGAAACAGGCTTCTAATCTTAGGGTCAGCAGTTCGAAACTACCAGCTGTTCCGTGGGAGAAAGATGAGGCTTTCTGCTCACATAAAGATTTTACAGCCTCAGAAACCCTGTAGATAGTTGCTATGAGTCGGAACCGACTCCAAGGCACATAACAACAACAACATGGGCAAAATACTGAATGATGACGAACGCTTCAAAAGACAATGGATGTGTGCTGATGACAGCTTGTAGTGTATGCCCTTTGGTTGGTTGATGAGGCATGGAGGGGATTGTAACCATGGCAATGAAACAATATACGACAGGATGAATGTAAAACTAATGTTATCCCATGTAAACTATCACATAATTCACAATAAAACATTAAAAAAAAAAAAAAAAAAGACAATGGAAGGAATACTTGGTCAATGTACAAAAAAAAAGAAAAAAAGGTCGATGTTTAACCATTTCTAGAGGTAGCATCACGGTCAACTCTACTTTGAAGAAGCAGCTCTTCCCCAGTCACATTTTGAGTGCCTTCCAACCTGAGGGGCTCATTTTCCGGCACTATATCTGACAGTGTTTCTCTGCTATTCTTAAGGTTTTCAGTGACTAAAATATTGGGAAGTCGTTCATCACTCCTTCTTCCTGGTTTGTCTTTGTCTGGATGCTCATCTGAAACCTGTCCACCATGGGTGACCCTGCTGGTATTTAAAATACCAATGGCATAGATTTCAGAATCACAGTAACTCACAAGCCATCACAGTATGACAAACTGACAGACGAGTGGTGGCAGGCTTAGTTAGGCACTGAAATTTCTGTCTTGGTGTCTCTTCTCAGATCACTCTGTCTGAGAGAAGCCAGCTACCACGTCATGATGAAACCTATGAAGAGGTCCAAATGGTGAGGAACTGAAGCCTCCTGCCAACAGTCATGCAAGTGAGCTTGGACGTGGACCTTCTAGTACAGCCAAGCTTTCAGATGACTACAGGCCTGGCCAACATTCTGACAGCAACATTCTGACAGCAACCTTGTGACAGCAATGTCATCCCCAGATTCCTGAGCTTCGGAAATGGTGCAAAATCATATTTATTGCTCTAAGCTAAGTTTTGGAATCCTGGTGTGTCACTGCAGGATAATGTGCTGGACCATAAAGTCAGTTTGAACTGCAAGGTCAGTGTTTCAAACACACCATCCGCTCCTTGGAAACCCTATGCAAGGTCACTATGGGTTGGAACCAACTCAACGGCCTTTAACAACAACAATAAGCTACATTTGGGGGTAATGTGTCACACAGCAATAAACTTCTAATACATAAAGGTATTAAAGGTTTCATTTGTCCGAGGTCTTATAGACTAAAAAGAGAATGTCCTAAGGTTTCCTTAAAGAAGGAAATGATATCCCAAACATGTAGAGTAGAAAGAAATGGAGGATTACAAGCTCTTAGCTCACCAGTCTAGGAGCATTCAAGTGACTCTGGAGATACAGCAAGACCCATGAGATGAGCACCACTGTTTCTAGAAGCTACTAATAATGATGACATATGAGTGAGGCAAACAAATTCCTGACATTCACCTTGAAATAAAATTCATGAAAATAGTGAAGAAAATGTTGAAAAAGAAAAAGGGAAGTCCTGCTCTAATAACTCACAGATATTAAGGCTTTCCATGAAGTGTCAGTAATTAAAACAGTACAGTTCTGGCCCAGGAATAAATGAAACTGATATAGCAAATTCAAAAGTATACCCACACACGTGAGAATTTAGTATATAATAAAAACTACATTTTAAATAAGTAGAAGAAAGTGAGTTGTTCGATAAATGTGTTGGGAAAATGGCAAACCATTTGGAAAAAAATAGTTACATCACAGCTACAAATAAATTCCAGATAGATTAAACATCTAAATATATATTTTAAACTACATGTTGCTCTTGTTAAGTGTCATAGAGTCTGTTACGATTCATACCCAACATCCACCAGCTTGCAATTCTGCCTGGTCCTGCACCATACACACAGTTATGTTTAAGGTCACTGCTGTGGCTCTTATGTCAATCCATCTCATTGACGTCCTTTTTTCACTGACCCTCCACTTTACCAAGTATAATGTCCCTCCTGACATGTCTAAATGAAGGAGATGAAATCTCCCCATCTTCACTTCTAAGGAGCATTCTGGCTGTACTACTTCCAACACAGATATGTTTTTCTTCTGGAAGTCCATAGTACCTTCAATATTCTTTACCAACAACATAATATAACAACATTTTGAGTAGAGTCAGGTCCAAATGCATTAAGTTTTCTACTGTCTTCCTTACTCACTGTCCAACTTCCACATGCACATGAGGTGACTGAAAATACCATGGCTTGGGTCAGGCATACCTTTTGGAGGTCACAGTTTTGTGAAAAGCGCTGGGCACAAAAAGTCAAGAACCAAAAGTTATAGCCCATGAGTCTTGAGTTAAGAATACTCTCTACATTTTTACAAAGTTGTAAAATACAACAAAACAAGAAATAAATGACAAGAGACCTATGTGAGCTATTTACAGGAAAAGCTTGCTATCTCTGATGTAGCTAATAAGTGTTACATGAAATTAGGTGCCGAAGACAGCATGATGTGGGCAGGAGGTAGGCTTGAACTGTGGCAATCCATTGAGTGTGAAGGTCTTTGGAGGTCATCAAAAGTTCTTTTTACAATTTCCTAAGAAGTGATCAGTGCGCTAAGTGATGAGGGACTACACCGTTGGACATGAGCAGAAACCTCTTCTTACTTTCCACACTCCCCATTTTAGTTTCAACTTCCCTGTCATTTCCCCCTGCCCTTTCTTGCTTCCTCTCCTACTGGAATGTTAACCTAAGGAGACTGAGATTTATATTTGAATCTTGGTTCTACCACCTGCCAGCAAATTAAACTGATTTCTCTGGGCTTCCCATACTTCATCTAGAAAATGCAAATGATTATAAAACGTTTAAGGTTGTGAGGATTAAATGAGATGTAAATCAAAGTCAAAGTGTCTGCAGCAAAATAAGCCTTTAAAGATTATTTCCTTTTGGAAGATATCACCTTTTCACACAGGACTCTTAGAGCACAAAAGCAGCTGTCAGGCAGTAAAGAGCTCTCCTAGAAGTTAGTTGTTGTTAAGTACCATAGAGTGAGTTCCAACTCATAATGACTCTGCATAGGGTGGCCGAGGGGCAGCTGGTGGGTTTGAACTGCCGTTCACAGTACAGTGCTGATCCTATAGCGCCACACCAGGAGTTTGAAGTTAGTAGACTTAGATTTTAGTCCTACATCTACTTGTGATGTTGGGTAAAATCACCTCTGATTTATAAGCTTCAATTTCCTAGCTGACAAAATGATGGGGTGAATGATCAGATGATCTCCAAGACCCTTCTGATTTGAAAATCCCCTGAGCACTGTACATGTGAGCAGAATAAAGAATGTCTCAACTCCCACACTCCAGTCCCAAAAAAGTCACATTATCAGTTCTTCCCTTTAAAACTGAAAATGGGGTAGACCATGGGCTCTGTTGAAACCTCTATGAGAACAACTCACTACCACGCATCTGTGGTGGAGTTAATTCCAGCCATGGCGACCCGTGTGTGTCAGAATACAACTGTGCTCTATGAGGTTTGCAGTGGCTGATTTTTCGTAAATGTCAGGCCCATCTTCCCAGTTTCCTCTGGCGCCTCTCCGGAACCTCCAACCTTTCAGTTAGCAGTCTAGCAAGTTAACCTTTTGCACCACTCAGGGGCTCCCCTGAACCTCTGTAGCTGCTATAAAACACCACTCCAATGTAGCAGTGTCATATGCAACCGAAACAAACTGTTTGTTAGGTGTCGTGATAAATTAAAAAAATACAGATGACACCACTTCTCAGAGCTACAAATATAACGCTAGTGCTCTTACAGCCCTAATACTGAGAGGTCTTGGAACTGTAGACTTCGTCCAAGGAACTCTCTTCCGCTCTCCCGAATTCGGGTATCCCGGGCCGAAAGCCACGGACACCGGCGAAGTCAGTTAGAAAAGCAGTGCAGATCTTGCCTGGGGAAAAGGCTAGGGAGAAAGCTGAGACACTTACCTTAAGTAGCGTTCGCTTTTAGCTCCGATTCCAGACAAGTTTCAGACCCAAATGATAAGACTCGGCCAAACCTAGGGGCCCTGCCCAAAAGGACCCTTTTCCCCCTCCCCGCCCCTCGGCCCCGCCCACGAGTTTCGCAGGCTGACCGCCGACCGCCTGACTGAAAGGCCCGGCTCTCCGCCCCCTGCTTAATAGGTCACGTCCCCCCGGTGAAAAACATATTCTTTCAGTCCAGTCAACCAGAAGCGAAGGACAGAATTGAGGGGCCAGAAACTGTGTCTGGGTTTTTAGTAAGGCAGTACGTTGGGCACCTATCTAGGGCTTGGCTACGGGAAGAAAAGTCCTCTGCTTCACTGTCCCGGCTTGAAGCGCTTTCCACTTCTGTCCTCTTCTCAAGATGGTGGCCTCCCGGGCAATTGGCAGCCTCAGCCGCTTCACTGGCTCTAGGACGCTCCGCTTTCCAGGTGAGGCCTAATGCAGGGCGCCTCGTGCCTCGAGCAGAGTTCCTGCGGGGACTAAGGCAGCTCGGGAGCTGAGTCTTCACCTCGCTGCCTCCTACCCGTCCCCGCCCTGGGGACTCAGCCCTCGGAGGGGAGACGTTGCCCTGAGACCGGGTCCCCTGTGTCCTTGTGAAGAGACGGTGACTTCCTCTCCCACAACTCGGAGCCCTATGGCGATTTCAGGCTCCGTAAGCCCTAACTTTTCCTGTAAGCCCTAACTTTTCCCGTACCTTTTCACTCAGTCTGAGACTTCCCATGTGTTCTCCGCTCCGCACTTCTGGACTCACGCCCCTCTTATATTCTTTAAAGATCGTCTTGGAGCAGCCTTTTTAGTTCGGGAGTTCGGGGAGGCCTGGGACCCCGTCCGTCTGTTGAACCTTTTTGGTTTCACAGCACCTACCCGCTACAAGTGTTATATTAAACGTTTCTTGCGTGGAGTTAATCTGTTTTGCAGATTACTGTCATTCCTTGCTCTTTCCCCGCAAAATCATTTTTGTACCTGTTACCACTCTTGCAGTTTCAGGGATCCAGTTAATGCATACATTGTTCATGTTATGTGCCGTGGAGTCGGTTCCGACTCATAGCGACCCATTACAAGGTTTCTGAGGCTGTAAATCTTTACGGGAGCAGAAAGCCTCATCATTCTCTTGCGGAACAGCTGGTAATTTCGAACTGCTGACCCTGATGTTCGCAGCCAGATTTGTAACCACTACGCTACCTAGAGCTCCTTTGCATACATAGTGTGTTGAATTTCAACGAGAGGTTTTGCAGCTTGATAGAAGAGCCATGTATTTGTATAGTAACGAATAAAAGGGTTAGATAATCTTAAATACTATTTCTAATCTTGTTTTTGATAATTCTCATTCAGCGTTCATTAAATTTTCGTTTTCTCTTTGCACTGGCGGTGAAAGGGTTAAAGTAGGTGCTTGTAGAAACCAAACATTTTCGGTCATCCCAAATCTTTAAATCGAAAGAAATGTGACAAACTTCTTATTGCATGCGACTAACTTAATTCTTGTTAAGTGCCGTCAAATCAAGGAATTTAATTAGTAATACGAATTCTCTCTCCTTTTCCTGACCCGCCAAGGTAGCTTGCTGCTTTTAGTCTGGTAGCTGGAGTTTCCGTTTACTCTAAGGAATTCATTAGTATGAGTGAATCTTTTTTCTGCTTTCTCCTTTGACTTTAGTTCCGTTTCTAGAAACGGTTTTTAACTGTGTTCTCTCTGTGTGTGTACACAAATCCTAATATAAACTACATTACAGAAATTGAAATACTCAAATATTAGAAAAGAGGTTAAGAAAAACGACCACTAGTTCTCTAGTGTAGCGCTGTGGGTTAATGTGCTCGACTGCAAGATCAGGTTGAACTGCATAGTCGTCGCTTCAAACTCACCAGCCGCTCCTTGGAAACCCTATACAGACAGAGTTGCTATGAGACAGAACTGACTCGATGGCACTTAACATCAATAACAATAGTTCTCTTACTACTCGTATACCTACTCTTACCACTTGGTTGTGTTTCCTTACAGTTGTGTGTTGTTGCTGGCTTTTTCCCCCCCCCCCCACATTTATAGTTTAACTATTTTGTAAAAATCAAATTTGTAGTTGTGAACTTCTTGCCCTTGCACTGGTTTTGAGGTTGGCAGTTGTTGTATCACTAAACTGGTCATATGATTTCTAGTAACCAACGTTTCACTGATCAGCTGTGTAACTTTGAGTAAATTTCTTAATGTAACTGAACTTTATTTTCCTTGTATGTAAAATAAGTGACTGAGACTAGATTTTCTTTGACATGAGAAGTAAAATTTGGAGTCTGACTTTGGGATTTGAATCAGGCTCTGACTTTTACCCTCTGGTGACCTTGGACAATTCATTTGTATGTCTGTTTTCTTACCTGTAAAATGCAGAATAAACCCCTGTGTCAGGTTGTTAAGAAAGCTCTGCTGGCGCAATGTTTAAAGCTCTCATCTGCAAATCCAAAGGTCAGCACTTAGAACCCACCAGTGACTCTCAGTAGAAAGTTGGCTATTAAGTACCACCAAGCCAGTTCCAACTCATAACTGCCCTGTATAGATAGGGTTTCGAAGGAGTTGATGGGTTTGAACTGCTAACTTTGCAGTCTAGTACTTATCCTACAATGCCACACCAGGCTCCATCCTGGGAAACCCTATGAGTGGTTCTATGTGGTCCTAAAGGGTTATTAATGAGTTGGAATTGACTCAAAGACCATGTTGTTATGTTAGGTGCTGTTGATTTGGTTCTGATCCATAGCTACCCTATGTACAACAGAACGAAACACCATAGGTTTATAAAATTGTTGAGAGAGAAACTGTTTTAGATGTAAAGCAGTAATCTGTGGAGTAAGTAGTTAGTAGTTGTTAGCTATTTTCTAACCTTGAAGAAGTGTGACTTTCACTACATACTGGATTTTCACAGGGTAAATTTTATCATTTACATATGGAATAAAAAGCTACAAGCTTAGTTTTTCTGTGTTTTTTTATATAGAAACATATACATACACATATAAATGTATGTATTTTACATGTATTTTTACCAATGGGAGGAACCCTGGTGGTGCAGTGGCTAAAAACTCTCAGATGGTAATCCAAAAGTTCCAATTTGGAACCACCAGCCAGTTGATAGAAGAAAGAGGCTGCAGTCTGCAACGGTAAAGATTGCAGCCTTGTAAACCCCCTATAGGCAAGGAGCTCTGGTAGCATAGTGGTTACGGATTGGGCTGTTAACCTCAAGGTCAGTAGTTCTAAACTACCAGCTGTTCTGCAGGAGAAAGAGGTGGCATTCTGCTCCTGTAAAGATTTACAGCCTCGGAAACCCTGTACAGGGTCACTATGAGTCGGAACCGACTCCACGGCACACCATCACCACCACGAAACCCTGTGGGCAATCCTACTCTGTCTGTTAGGGTCACCATGAGTCAGAATGGACTCCTTAGCAGTGGTTCTGGGTTTGGTTTCACCAATGAATATGATTCATAGTTACTGTACCTTGTAATACAATTTGAAAAATTGTTTAGAATATGAACTTAAAATTATCTTCACACCTGGACTGCCATTTATCAATTGCCAACACATTGAACTCTCACCCTTAAAGTTTGTGCCAAGGCATTGCCAACCTTTAGCAAAATTGTGACATTTACTAATGAATGGTTCAATTTCCATGCAACTGGCTTTTAATTCTTGAATTTTTAACCCATTCCTGCACAACCAGAGCTATAATTCTGAGTATGACTGTCATCATGTCTTGTCCAAAATATCATACCTAATTCCCACTTCTGTCATAAATCTAAATTGAGTATGAGTGGCAAAATATTTGAACAGGAAATGAGTTTGAGGCAAATACTTTAGTAGATTTCTTAAGTGCCATCAAATCCACTCCAACTCATGACAACCTTGTATACAATTTCCAAGCTGTAAATCTTTACAGGAACAAAAAACCTCATCTTTCTTCTGCAGAGCAAATGGTGGGCTCTAACTGACAAGCTTGTGGTTTGCAATCCGGTGCTTATCCTTTAGAGCTGCCATACTTCTGACTTAGATGTTGTCATTAAGTGTGGTACAGTTGGTTCTGACTTATAGTGAGATGTGGTTGGTGAGTTTGAACCATCGACCTTACAGTCCTGTGCTTATCTTCCAGCATCACACCAGGACATTTAATTTTTTTTTTCTAACTTTTTGTTGTGAATTGAGTAAAAGTTTACAAAGCATATCATCACTTTGTCATTTAACAAATCATAAATCCCTGCAGTGTAACATCAGTTATTCCACTTCCTCCCTGTGATTCTTGTTTCATTCCATTTCTTTCCCAACCTTTCGGAATTTTGCCCTTAGGTAAATGCTGCGCTTCTGATCTTGAATAGTTGCCAATTCCATTGGGTGCATATGTCACTTGTGTTGTTGTCGCACTATAGACCTGTCTACTGTTTGGCTGAAAATTCAGCCATGAGGGTGAGTTCAATTATTGACCAAGGGCTATAGTCTTGGCTCTTCCTGCCTCTTGCTGACCAGTACACCTGATCTTTTTGATAATTTGTGTTTTTCCCACATTTTCTCCCAGTCTGTCCAAGTAAGTATATTTAAAAATCTGACTCTCATTTCCCTAATCTTGTCTGTCCCCCAAGGGTTGAATTTTGAGAAAAAAAAGTGTTGGATAGAACTGTGGTAACATTTTCAGATCTGTAATTTGTGCCAGCATACTCCAACTCTTCACTGACTGCAGTTTTATGAAGCCTTGCGATTATATCTTGAGTTAAACTGCAAAGATGATTAAAGACTAGGGCAAAGGTGTCTGTCTGTTGTGCTGGCACAGTGGATATAGGCTAAAGTTCACTCAGCTTCTGTAAACTGCTGATGAAGTGGGGGATACAGCTAGGTACTCTGTACTTCTGCTTGATTTAGGTTACTCTGGTTTGACATTCTTTTCCATATATGTCTGTGCATTTGCTTATTGTTTTCTCTTTTTGTTTTTTGTCTATACTGATGTACAGGAGGTTGTAGGTGAAAAAGAGAGTGTGAGTGTGGGGCAAAAGGTTAGTGGGTAACAGTTGAAATGGTTTAAACAATAGACTAATAAACACTAATCTGTTGTCTCAAATATTGGCTCTTTAAAATTGCAATGCATGCCCATAATCCCTTACCTGCCTTTTTTTTTTTTTTTTTTGCTTAGCCACTTATAAGGAGCCCTGGTGGCATAATGGTTTAAGCATGGGCTGCCAGTGACAAGGCCATCGGTTCAAACCCACCAGCAGCTGTGCAGGAGAACGATGAGGCTATCTGCTCCCATAAGATTTATAGTCGCAGAAACCCTATGGAGCAGTTCTACTTTGTCCTATAGGGCTAGTAGTAAATTAGGCACTTTTCCGTTTAAAAAAAAAAAACTTTTTATTGTTAATTGAGTACAGCTTTACAGAGCAGATCATCAGTTTTGCATTCAACAAATCATATACT